TTTCAGTCGATTAGGAGTTGCAGTCACGAGTATGAGGTCAACAGTATTTTAGGGGCAATATAAGTCCAATACAAAAGTATCATATGTTTGTGTGTTCGAATTTGAGGAATGGTAATAAGTTCCGGTTATTGACCTTAGTTAGTGTTCACACTCGCTTTAGCCAAGTGTGAACACTAACTAAGAAACTTGAAGAGAGCAATTTAGTCCAGAGAATTTTCTTACAATTCCAAGAGAAAAAAAACTGCTAAACTGCTCAGACACTAGTGGAAAAAATGCTCTAAAGTTATGGGAAAAACAATTACAAGGAAATTTTAAAGGAATGGCCGACACTTTAATCAAGGGAGAGCGAAATCTTACCCGCGGTGAATTGGATATGGAGGATTTCTCGCAGAACGTTCTTTATTATTGCAGCTTGTACTTTTACTTGGCAGTAATCCTCCTGTTCGTTGGATATATCTCAGTAAGAGCTCAAATTTCGTTAATTGAAGGGAACATCTATTTAAAATACTGAACGCTATTCAGAATGCTCTTTTATTCACACTATGTGAACGTCGGATTCATCGTATTCGAAAAAGATATCTGAGAGCAGTGATGCGTCAGGATATGGCCTGGTTTGATACTCAAGAAGTTGGAGCTTTAACGAGTAGAATGAGCAGGTTAAAATGAATTTCTGCAGTTGGTACTGATCGAAAAAAGTTATCGTAAATGTCTGATTCCAGCGGAGTGGAAAAATTAAAGGATGGAATTGGTGACAAAATGGGACTGCTCTTCTCAGCATTGGGATCATTTATTAGCGGCATAGGACTCGGATTCTACTTAAGGTAGGTCGACATGTAGACATCTGTTTTGGTTTTTGCGGAAAAAAAGGAAACAGCAGTCAGAGCTTGAGCCATGAGTAAAAATTGAAGAAGTCAAGAAGTTCCGAAGATAAATCAATTTATTTATTCATAATTTTATTTTGGAAAAGCTCCACAGCATCTTCAAACCCTTTTTCCTTTCCTACCTTACTCAATCAATCAATTGAACAATCATTTTCTCTTGAGAAGCCATTGTAAACCGCTTTATCCTAGAGTTTCGAAATGTTTCATTACTATCACTATGTTATTATCAACATCATCAAAATTTCCTGCTTGGCAAAAGAGTTCAATTGGTAAAAACTTTCAAGAAAATTCCAATATTAAATGTCAAACACCGAAATTGTCCCAACTCAATTTTTTGCTTTTTTTCCTCAAGCTGCCTTCTTTTCATAATGTAAAAATCATTTGATAGCTTAAGCTAAGAGTTGAATTTTTCAGTTGGAAGATGACGTTGGTGATGATGTTTACGGTACCGGTGCTTCTTGGGGCCATGTTCGTCTCGGCAAAGGTGGGTCAGTGCGACTGCAACAAATAGAGGAAACTTCCTTACAAATAGAAATATCTAAATAATAGAATCAATAAACCACAGGGTCATACTTCAATAATTTCAATAATAGATGTCTGAAAACTAATAAACATATCCTTATGTTTTGAGCTTCATTGAAGCCTCACAATAAACTGGAATATTTCCAGATGATTTCAAGAGCGTCGAAGTCTGAAACCTACGCGTATTCAACGGCTGGTGGCTTAGCCAATGAGGTTATAGCCGGAATTCGCACTGTTATGGCGTTTAATGCCCAACCAGCAGAGATTCATCGGTGAACATTTATTATATATTAAGTGCATCCTTAAAACTCCCTAGCTTATTTTTTACAAAATTTAGCGTTTCATTCATTTTTTTTTTCATTGTGAGCTCCGAGTTTTAAAGACACGTACTGGAAATGTACACCATATGCAATACACTTTCCGTTCCCATTGCGTATGAATGGAGTGGTAATGTCGATTACTTGGTAAAGGAACAAAATATGTAAAGGAAGTAGTCTAGTCGTTTCAAATCTAGTACCACACCCTCACTTACAGCAGCCGTTTTAACATCAGCCCAAGTAAATTTGGACAGCTTGAACTTTTGACCATTTCAGCCCATTCATCCACATTCGAAGACGAACCTATTTCGATGCAGTAAGAGAAAAAATACGACAGATGACAAAATGCTGACG